CCCCCCAGGCGAGCCCCCCAGCCCCGGCGACCCCCCTCACACGGACCTCTGCCCTCCCTTTCCGCCCCTGCTGCCCCCGGCCCTCGCACGCCCGCGCACCCTCGTAGCGCTGGAAGCCTCTCAGCCGCAGCGTTTGCGCTCTCTGGCCGCCTGTCCATGCGCCTTGCCGTCCAGGTCTTCCTCCATCTTCCATCGTTGATTCTGCCTGTGATCGCACTCGTATTACACTCCCACATGTGCCTCACAACCTCCATGTTCTGCAATCATGTCAGGTCCACTGGCTCGGCCACTCCATGGGCGGCATGCTCGCCGTCGGCGCCCTCACCCGCGGCCTCGAGTGCGCGTCCGCGCTGCGCTCCGTCACGCTCCTCGGCAGCGGCTGCTTCGGCGCCGGCAGCTGGCACGCCGCCGTCGCGCCGCTGCTCACGCGGGTCACCGCGGCCGGCTTCTTTGCGGGCCACATCGTGCCCCTCCTCGCGCGCCTGCGCGGCCCCGGCGCCCCGGTCGCGTGGCTCACGCGCTCGCTCTTCTATGTCGGCGCAAACGTGCGGCCGGAGGTCGGGCGGAAGCTGCTCGGCAGTTTCCTCAGCTTCATCCCCAGCGGCGTGGTGGCGCAGTTCATGGGGTCGCTCAACAGCCCCCTGGGCATATCGTCATCTGACGGCACCTGGAACTACGCAGATCCAAAGGCGCTGGCGCACATCTCCATCCCTGTCTTTGGCATCAACGGGGACCGCGACCTCTTTTGCCCCGCCGCCGGCGGTGCGCGCCCCTGAGCCCCCATCAGCCCCACAGCCTTGGCCTCACAGCCTTGCGGCTGCAGGGCCGAGCCTTGCGCTTTCAGCTTTTTGCGCCCAGCTGCTCGGTTGGGCGGAAATCTTGTTGTGTCACGCGCCTGCTCGGCTGCCTGCGATTCTGCAGGATCTCTGTCTTTTCCTGTGACTTTGAACTCCTCACCCTCACAAACAATCTCGCACTGCCTCTGCACAGGCCTCAAAACCATCAACCTCTTCGGCGGACCCCATAGGCGATTCCTGTTCCTGGGCCCAAGCTATGGTGAGCCGGCCCGCCATCCCGCCC